CAAATCATATAATCCTACAACCAGTCAAATCATATAATCATACAACCAGTCAAACCATATAAACGTACAACCAGTCAAAACATATAAACCTACAACCAGTCAAACCATATAAACCTCCAACCAGTCAAACCATATAGACATACAACCAGTCAAATCATATAATCCTACAACCAGTCAAATCATATAATCATACAACCAGTCAAACCATATAAACATACAACCATTCAAACCATATAAATGTACAACCAGTCAAACCATAAAAACCTACAACCAGTCAAATCATATAATCCTACAAGCAGTCAAACCATATAAACCTCCAACCAGTCAAACCATATAAACATACAACCAGTCAAATCATATAATCATACAACCAGTCAAACCATACCAGTCAAACTATATAAACCTCCAACCAGTCAAACAATATAAACCTACAACCAGTCAAATCATATAATCATACAACCAGTCAAACCATATAAACCTACAACCAGTCAAACCATATAAACGTACAACCAGTCAAATCATATAAACCTCCAACCAGTCAAACCATATAATACTGAAACTAGTCAAACCATATAAACCTACAACCAGTCAAACCATATACACCTACAAATTGTCAAACCATATAAGCCTACAACCAGTCAGACCATATAAATCTCCAACCAGTCAAATCATATAAACATACAACCAGTCAAATCATATAATCATACAACCAGTCAAACCATACCAGTCAAACCATATAAACCTCCTACCAGTCAAACCATATAAACCTACGACCAGTCAAACCATATAACCTCCAACCAGTCAAACCATATAAACGTGAAACCAGTCAAACCATACCAGTCAAACCATATAAACCTCCAACCAGTCAAACCATATAAACCTACGACCAGTCAAACCATATAACCCTACAACCAGTCAAACCATATAAACCTACAACCAGTCAAATCATATAAGCCTACAACCAGTCAAACCATATAAACATACAACCAGTCAAACCAAATAAACATACAACCAGTCAAATCATATAATCACACAACCAGTCAAACCATACCAGTCAAACCATATAAACCTCCAACCAGTCAAACCATATAAACCTTCGACCAGTCAAACCATATAACCCTACAACCAGTAAAACCATACAAACCTACAAACAGTCAAACCATATAATCCTACAACTAGTCAAACCATATAATTCGTCAACCAGTCAAACCATACAAGTCAAACCATATAAACCTACGACCAGTCAAACCATAAGACCCTACAACCAGTCAAACCATATAAACGTACAACCAGTCAAACCATATAAACCTACAACCAGTAAAACCATATAAACCAACAACCAGTCAAACCATATAACCATAAAACCAGTCAAAACATATAAACGTACAACCAGTCAAACCATATACACCTACAACTTGTCAAACCATACAAACCTACAACCAGTCAAACCATATAAACCTACAACCAGTCAAACCATATACACTTACAACTAGCCAAACCATATAAACCTACAACCAGTCAAATCATATAAACCTATAACCAGTCAAACTATATAAACCTACAACCAGTCAAATCATATAAACCTACATCTAGTCAAACCATATAAACCTACAACTAGCCAAACCATATAAACCTACAACCAGTCAAACCATATAAACCTACATCTAGTCAAACCATACCAGTCAAGGACAGGACCTTTGGTTTAGACTTTTCTTGGTAAAAGGATAAATTTATCAAGAATACGCTGATATTAAAAATTAAAACATCACAAACATAGCTAATCAATTATGGCACGTTCATGTAATCAGGGAAATCTGACTAGTTACTGCTAAGGAAAGTAAAAAATAGTGTAGGTAATGTCGCCATGTTTGTCATAAAGATTGGTAGTAAGGCGCCAGATGTCATCTTACAATATGGATATCTTAATAAAAAGCCAAAGTAAAGATACATTCCTTGAGAATGATAATTTACCACAAACTATCAGCTAACTATCCGATATAGATGTACATTCAAACAATCAGACAATGATCTGATTTCCTATCTTCAACATTCCCTTATACACTTACAAAAGAATTGGCCGCAAAATGGCTCTCGTCTAGATATTACACTGTAAATACTCCGTCTTAAACCTGATACAGTTAGTAAGAACTATAATATAGAACGCTAATAAACCGTCAAACGATACTATGATATACTCACTAGACCATTATGGGAATGCAACTTTTATATGAGTAAATATTTCTACAGTACAAAGTATGCCCGCAATCTACGTAAGATTTGCAGAGAATACTTTCTTTCCTATAAAACCTTTCTGGTCGTTTCGGATAAGTACAGAATTAGTCCTCAGCCAAGTGTACCCCTATTCGAAACCAGAAATTTATTACTGTTGAATGACCATAACTTCTCGTCGCTAATGAGAATTTAGAGAATTTACAAACGCCTCTCTGATACGGATTGTTTATCATGGGCTATAGCCGCCTTCCGACAGGGAAAGTTTCGCACTTTCTCCAGGAACTTGCTGACGTTTAGACGACACACAAATTTATGTCTGTACTTTTAGATGCGTTGTCGTACATGCGCGTTAATTGCCCCTGGTTACAACGGAAGTGAGAATAATGACGTGTTAAGTCACACTCCCAATGCTTTCAGTGGTGATGAGACTCGAGCAAGCCGTCCTTCCTCGTGTTGGCGAAAATGTGAGTGAGGCTGGCATTTTTTTGACGTTAGTTAAATGACGCTATGGTTGTCAAAGTGCCTTTTCCTGAAAGCCCATCGAACAAAATTACTTTTAAAAGATTGAGAACCCTTGTATAGTTTGACGGAACTCCTAGCGGACATTACTCAGGAAAAACAGAATGAAAATGAAAAAAATAGAACTAGTTTTTTTATGTTTTTCTCCAAGGGATGATTAACCCGCACGTGCTCATATATGACTCGCTGGTATTGAGACGACAAGCCTAAGATCAGTGAACGTTTGACATTATAACAGCAATTCTTGGTCAACGTGACGCTTTTATGGAAATAGAATTAGTTATAATTGTGATGTCATGTTTAAAACTGGAAGCAACTGTCTGAAGGAGATGTTCCTTTGTAGCCGTGTTTAATGTACCTAGCAGAGACAAGTACATTAAAAACACATGAAACTATGCATCGTCTCCAACAAATAAACAGTATTCATTGGAAAGAAGGCTCTCCATTATGGAAAGTGCCTGTAGTTTTTTTTAATCATTTACTGAAATAAAATTAATATCGGTAATTATGTAAGGCATCTTTCTATTTCGTGTAATAAAAAAATGCATATAAGTAAAATATCGAGATTTTAAAGCTTGAAAAATATGAATGACTGAATAGAAAAAAAAACATACAAAAAGAAACAGTGATAATGTTCTTTCATAATCCTTGAATTATATGTTTCAGTTATCATTTTTGCATAATATGTCTATTATTATATTTCATAAGTACCACCACATGTGTGTTACGTCCATTCCTTAAAGGTAAACATAGTAACTTAGATTCTCTTAAACGCTATGCGTTGCACGTGCTGAAATTTAAATTGAGCCATGTTATAATACTGTTATTATCCAGGAAAAGTACCTGATGAACTCCAAACGAAATGGAAATACAATAATCGATGGTATATTCAGGCTGTACAACTGTTTTCTTACAGATATGTATTTCGGGAATAACTTTTATTTAAGAATACATCGTTACTCTTCCTGTGAAACTTGACAAAAACCATGCTCTGTATGAAATAGTCCACATTAGACTTAACGACCTCAATATGTTGAGGAAATTTAGCTTGTCAAGAGAGGTATGTAGAATGTAGTGATCTAACGGGGTGTCCGTATGATTAATGTTTGTTATTATTTCCCTAATGGCGCTAGTGTGTCTGGGTACAGTATGTGGTCAACATATAACTGTCCACTATGTAACGAGAATCACAAAGACGTGTATTTACTTCCGATCATGCTAGAGAGCAATGGTAATATCAATTTTCATCTATATACTACCGGTAGCATGGTAATATCAATTATCATCAATATACTACCGGTAGCATGTTAGTATCAATTATCATCTATATACTACCGGTAGCATGGTAATATCAATTATCATCTATATACTACCGGTAGCATGGTAATATCACTTATCATCTATATACTATCGGTAGCATGTTAATATCAATTATCATCTATATACTACCGATAGCATGGTAATATCAATTATCATCTATATACTACCGGTAGCATGGTAATATCACTTATCATCTTTATACTACCGGTAGCATGGTAATATCAATTATCATCTATATACTACCGGTAGTTAATCAATTATCATCTATATACTACCGGTAGCATGATAAATTCATTATCATTGGTTGTTAGTATGAGAAGAAGTTGAGAACGACTTGAGAACGGGTTTTCCCATTTCCCAGGACTTGGGAATGTATTTTCTCAAAAATGAAAAAAAACATGAAAAAGTGTCCAAACAAAAGTGACCGCGCAAGAAAAAAAGTCCCTCATAAACATTTCAATATAAAGTTACGAAAAATATTGTTAGAATAACAACACCATTTCAGGTGTAAATGTGCATATGGAAAAGCAAATGACGATAGGATTGTTTAAAAATATTTTTTCCATGTAGTTTTAAGGTTAATTGTATTCCTTCGCGCAAAATTTCTATTTATTTACGTTTGTCACAGGCGATCGTTGACCATTGAGCTTCCAAGTTATTTGGAAAACATGGTATTAAGTTGAGTTTTATAAACGGAAAAATATATCAGATAGTAGTATATAGATGATAAATAGTTTATCAAACAGTGTTTCCAGTGTTTGTCGTGAGAAAATTTTTCTCATCGGTCGCACGTAGATATAACCTCGAGTCCATCTCCGGTGCCCTCTCGATTTTATCCACATGCTCGCGATGAGAAATTTGTTCTCACGACAAACCCTGAAAATGCAGTGTGATAATCTATAAATCACACGATGTTATAGTTTTCTTACCGTCTCGACATGTAGATAGATCCGTCCGCGCTGATGCGTACGAATACATTCGGCGTAGTGATATTATGTTGAGTGGAACGTCTTCCGTTGAGGAAGTAAGTGTTTGGTTTCCAGATGTACTTCAGGAAGGCTGTACTGAGTGTTACCTTGGTGATATTCTCTAAGTTGAATTTGAGTCGTTCGTCATGCCATCTTTGTCGCAAATAGCACTGCATCGAGTACGACTGTAGATACAAACGGCTATTAGACGTATTTTATACAAAAAAACACATCGACATAACTTATTTTATCCATCTATGCGAAACATACAGACTATCCAATATAATTATTTGGGTTATATTTTCTGAAAAAAAAATCATACCATTTCTGTTTCCAGCACTGGGCCCATACTTCTGACCAGGATGTCGGTCTCGATTCGGAGTGGGTCACCTACGGATGTAAAGACAATTGTTCATCAATATTTTATGATAGGTTTAATATGTAAAAGCAACACAATAAAGTCATAAAGAACGACAATGTAAAAATTGGGTAGATAGACGGCAGGACAACAAAACGTGGAAGTGGTAATAGAATGGTGGAAAAAGGAACGATACATAATGAGAGTATACACACACAAGTACTACATAGTAGCGTAGGTGAACCTCTGAAATGTAGTTATTCCAACCAACTGTATATGTAGTATTCATTTTTCAAGAGACTTTAGGTCTTTTTCTTTTAAATAATAATGTGTGATATAAATCTGGTTTTCATACCTTCTTATGAAGTAAAGAGGTATCATAAAGACGCTTACGACTTTCGGCCCTTTTGAATAGGACATTTAAGTGCGTTCGAGTGAGATTAAATTGTAAAGGTCGAGGGCAAAAACTCGGATCGGCCGGGATACCTGAAACGTTTATGTTTTGCCTAACAAGAAAATAGTGTTTTCCATTAACACATACTACTACTACTACTACTACTTCTACTACTACTACTGTATCAGGGGATATCGACTGTCTCTCCATATATTAATCTTCCAATTAGTGTAAAAGGTCATAAAATGTCGCATTCCCTCAACATATAATATTATACAATTGTATATATACATCAGAACTTTATTTTACAATTGTTATGAAAGCAGGTAAATACAACTTATATTAATCACTCTCGTTGGTCTGGATGTTAGCGTACGGGAGGCTTTAATGTGGGATGAAACCGGAGTACAAGCACGTAGTCGGGCAGGTGACCCCAAACTATTTCACGTCCCGTCCCGGCGAGTACGTTACCCATTGCGCCCACCGACCGACCAATCTAAGATAATAGAGTTATATATAACCTACTTGTACGCAGTCTAGGCTATTATAGCCACTATTTTGGGTCCAGCTTTGTTTTACTGACCTCTATAATGAAATTGACATTTAAAACATTCTAACATCGATCTTCTGAGTTTACTAGATTTGAACTGATTTGACCTTATCAAAACCGATTTATTCACAATAACAGAAATGTACCTAAATTTTCAGCGAATGTAAAAGCATTTTAACAAACTCTTTTAACCTTCTTCTATTAATCCAATGTCAGAACAAAAGAGGAGTTTTGTTTTGTCACCGGCGACCTTGGCATGCATTCTATAGATTTATTAAGCCGCCAAGATTTTGTCTTTTATAGGAGGAAATGGATTTAGATCGGGCAAAAATTATTCCTGAAACTATCTATTTCACTCGGATTATAATGAAGATTAATCACTTCGATAGAGTTATAACCAGTAACAACTATCATGCATGCTCTGCAATGCCAGCCTCCTAGATACACGCTGCGGTAAAACTTAATGCAAAATCATTTGCTACAGAGTTCAATCTAAACGTTAAGTGAAAATATATTGTTTTTAATGCTATGATATAAATTCATGTTGAGCACACATTACTGAGTAAATAGTCAATACTTTTTTAATTCACCAAGCAGAGGAAAAACGTTCCTTTTAAAGTCAAGTTAATTCTTTTAACATTCTGTGCTTTAATTCTTTCAGAAAATAGTGCAACCAACAACACTGAACGCCGTCAAAAGGAGTGAGTGTATGTCTACCTTGTCTATCAAGACATTGAGTACTCTGTGAACAATATATGCGAATGTAGGTAATGTTACCGATACAGTCGAGGTAGTAGTGACGGAGGGCTCCCCGGGGACTTTAACATAACGGCTAGTGTTTGATTGAGGGATTAGAAGGCAGAAGATCATTGACATTTGAAACTCCAATAAAAGTCCAAGTACTTCCACCAGAATTGAACAGCAGAGAAACAAAATTTGGAATGTGCTGCGTAGGGGGATGTAAAGCGTCATGGAGGATCATTGAAACAACCCCTAAACCTCTCCAGGCCGGAAGAGTAGACGAAGGTGTGATTTGCTGAAATGTAAGACTTATCACCGCGACGTTGAGGATTACGTGTTGTAGGGAGTTTGTGTTTCCGTCGGCTTGTCGGATAGGTGTTGAACCTTATACCATTCCATGGTTGACACGACAAAAACAACTTATATGGGATTGATGTTTGAGATGCATGAACCATCCTGGAAATGAATCGACAAATAGAAAGTAGAATATATAAAAGTAATTTGGAAAGGCTTCGTGGAGCCTAGACGTTCTCCCTGTCAGTGGCTAAGACTCCCTATTCCGAGATGTCCGCCCCAGGGATTAACCAATGAAATCGAGAAATCAAATAGAAAGTTGTTATTCGTTCTGTATCTAATGGTATTGTTTTCCTCATAACGCCGAAACAGATTTGTGGGCTATCTGGTTTTATTGTAATCTCCTAAATGGATTTACTGACGTAAGTTAAATTGGAAAACTCCCATTGAAAACTAGAAAACTGTAATAGTATCTTATCTACACTCCAATACATGGTACATTGTAATGACAAATCAGTTCGTCACCGAGAGTGTAGAAACTCGTAGAAACTCGTAGAAACCTTCTCGTCTTTAATTTGCTTGGGTGAAACAGTAGCACAGAAACTGCGACAAATTAAAATTGAACCTGTTTTTTATATTAAGATTGCATTCCAATCGTTTTGTTTATTATACGATTATTTTTAAAACATCATGATAATTATACTATTTTACGAAACTTTAGGAGTCCTAAGTTAATCGGATGAATGCTTTCTTTCTGTACCCAGATGTCTCATTAAACCGTATTAAGTAGTAAATTAAAGTCCTGCTATTTTGAACAACACTGCAAATTAATCGAAAAACGCATGTTATTGTGTACGATCGTCTGTCACCAAACCTGTTTAGAACTCTAGGTAGTAGCGCTCGACAGACTACAACAGACTACTTCTATTCATACAATCTAATTTGAAATGTGAGGTAGATTGTCGATAAATTGAACACCTAAAATTAAGGAACGTCTAGGTATCTTTGACGTCTTAATCACTAAGAAATAATCGTAATTACAAATGTACGTTATGATACCATAATTAACAGATGGTTTTGGAAGATTTCAGAGCAAATGTGTATATTTGTAATTACGAATGTTTCGACTGTAGTAAAGTTGTTGTCTGTTGTTACGTTGTTTGTATTTAGGGTCACGTTGTCTATAGTAAGGTTGACTGTCGTTGCGTTGTTTGTATTTAGGGTTACGTTGTCTATAGTAAGGTTGTCTGTCGTTACGTTGTTTGTATTTAGGGTCACGTTGTCTATAGTAAGGTTGACTGTCGTTGCGTTGTTTGTATTTAGGGTTACGTTGTCTATAGTAAGGTTGTCTGTCGTTTCGTTGTTTGTATTTAGGGTCACGTTGTCTATAGTAAGGTTGTCTGTCGTTACGTTGTTTGTTTTTAAGACCACGTTGTCTATAGTAAGGCTGTCTGTCGTTACGTTGTTTGTTTTTAAGGTCACGTTATCTATAGTAAGGTTGTCTGTCGTTGCGTTGTTTGTAGTCAGGGTCACGTTGTGTATAGTAAGGTTGTCTGTCGTTACGTTGTTTGTAGTCAGGGTCACGTTGTGTATAGTAAGGTTGTCTGTCGTAACGTGGTTTGTAGTTAGGGTCACGTTGTGTATAGTAAGGTTGTCTGTCGT